ACATCACTGGATGTCCACTGATGGATGGATGGAGGATGATCCATCCTCCACTGGATGAGGACATCTTGTAAAACTATAAACTTCACAGCCAGAATATTGAAATTAATGAATCAAGATTTGGAACCCTTTTATAATTAAACCCACTTCACTCTTGGCCACGACCTCTCCTTTTGGTTGGTGTTATAAGTGATTTCTATTGAAAACTGGCCACTTTTAGTATTATGTTGTGAGACTCTGAGTCGTATTTAAACCTTCTGTTTTAACTGGTTTCTTCTGATCCTGCTCTGGCAGGAGAAGTAGATGTGCCACTTTGTTACTGCCAGGTAGGGGAAGAAGCCCACGTTCCCCACAGAGCCTCCACGGATACCTCCCGAGGTGAGAAAGGAGAGTTCAAGGTCCCCAGGGCTCCCGCACACGGGAGAGGGGACGCCCTTGTGACCGCACAGTGTGAGTGGGCCACAGCTTACTCAGTGGTGCTTGTCTGAAGGAGAGCAGGTGTCTCAGTGTCTTTCTCTTGCTGTGTGGTCCTTTCCTCGTCCTTGGGCTAGAGATCTCGTAGATATTTTGCTGGAGATTTCTGTGCTCATGGGTATTGCCAGTTGCTGGTTTCTTTAGCCCCAAATCTGGAATTTATTAGGCAAGAAGAAAGAGCGCTCAACACTGTGTTGTTCCTTGGGTGCTAGGCTCCCTGGTCTGCCTTCTCTCCACCTTTTGGAGCCTCCTTATGTTTATGTATAATGCCCAGTATCTTCCTAGTTACAGTTTACTTACTACATTAAAAAACTAATTATTTTCTTGAGAACATGCCCCTTGGTAAACATGGTAGGCATTCTGTGTATTTTCACATTAAATCAGATAATTATGTCAAGTGGACATTATTTAAATAAAAGTAATAGTTTTAAAAACATTCTTAGTGACTTCAGGGTCTCTTAATTTTAGTGACTACGGGCATTTTTGGGCTTTCCAGGTGACTCTAATGGTAAAGAATCTGCCTGGGATGCAGGAGAGGCAGGTTTGATCCTAGGTTGGGAAGATCCCATGGAGAAGGACATGGCAACCCCCTCCAGTATTCTTGCCTGGAGAATCCCATAGACAGAAGAGCTTGGTGGGCTACAGTCCATGGGTCAAAAAGAGTGGGACACTACTGAAGAGACTCACACACACATGCATAGGCATTATTACCTTCAAAAAAATAGTGTCTGGATTTTTTTGTGCATGTGCAGTGATCTTTCTTCTCTAGGCAATTATTTGGTCAATCTGCTTTAATTCTTCAAAATAAAGTATTAATAGCTATGATTAATGAATGTCTACCACAAGCCAAAATAGACATTTATTTGCTGATGTGTATTTTCTTTTAATGAAATATAGTGTTGTTTTTTTTTTAAGATCCTTTGAGGTATACAGTTAGGGCTTCCCAGGTGGCTCAGTGGTAAAGAATCCACCTGCTATGCGGGAGACTTGGGTTCAATTGTTGGGTCAGGAAGATCCCCTGGAGGAGGAAATGGCAACCCACTTCAGTATTCTTGCCTGGAAAATCCTAGGACAGAAGAGCCTGGTGAGCTGCAGCCCATGGGGCTACAAAGAGTTGGACATGATTACCAAGCACACATGACACATGCAAGGTATGCACTTAGAGATTCTGTATGTTTGTTTGTTTTTTTAATTCCTTCTTCCCTCCACAACTGTCCTTATAAAGCAGATAAATGCTTTTAATCTTCTCATGACTGATCACTTTTAAAATACACTTTTAAAAATATACTGATGAGGTGTTCTGCCACATCTGGTGGGGTTTTGTTATTGTTTAGTCATCAGTTGTGTTTGACTCTTGGCGGCCCCATGGACTGCAGCACGTCAGGCTTCCCTGTCCTTCACCACTTCACCATCTCCCAGAGCGTGCTCAAACTCATGTCCATTGAATAGGTGATACCATCCAACTGTATTATCCTCTGTTGTCCCCCTCTCCTTCCGCCTTCAATCTTTCCCAGCATCAGGATCTTTTTTAATGAGTTGGCTCTTTTCACATCAGATGGCCAGAGTATTGGAGCTTCAGCTTCAGCGTCAGTCCTTTCAGTGAATATTCAGGACTGATTTCCTTTAGGATTGACTGGTTTGATCTCCTTGTATTCAAAGGGACTCTCAAGTCTTCTCCAACACCACAGTTCAAAACCATCAATCCATTGATGCTCAGCCTTCTTAAAGGTCCAAATCTCAGATCCATACATGACTACTGGAAAAACCATAGCTTTCACTATACAGACCTGTGTTGGCAAAGTAATGCTTCTGCTTTTTAATATCCTGTCTGTTTTCATAGCTTTTCTTCCAAGGAACAAGCATTGTTTAATTTCATGGCTGCAGTCACCATCTGCAGCCATTTTGAAACCCAAGAAAATAAAGTCTGTCACTGTTTCTGTTGTTCCCCCATCTATTTGCCATGAATTGATGGGACTGGTGATCCCATCATCAAACGGAGATGCCATTATCTTAGTTTTTTGAATGTTGAGTTTTAAGCCAGGTTTTTCACTCTCTTTTTTCACCTTCATCAAGAGGCTGTTTAGTTCCTCTTCATTTTCTGCCATAAGGGTGGTATCATCTGTGTATCTGAGGTTATTGCTATTTCTCCTGGCAATCTTGATTCCACCTTCTGCATCATCTAGCCTGGCATTTTCATGATGTAGTCTGCATAGAAGTTAAATAAACAGGGTGAGAATATACAGCCTTGACATTCCCCTTTCCCAATTTTGAACCAGTCTATTGTTCCATGTCCTGTTCTAACTGTTGCTTCTTGACCTGCATACAAGTTTGTCAGGAGACAGGTATAAGGTGGTCTGGTATTCCCATCTCTTTAAGAATTTTCCACAGTTTGTTGTCATCCACATGGTCAAAGACTTTAGTGTAGTCAGTGAAGCAGAAGTACAAGTTTTTCTGGAATTCTCTTGCTTTTTCTATCATCCAACGGATGTTGGCAATTCAATCTCTGGTTCCTATGCCTTTTCTGAATCCAACTTGAACACCTGGAAGTTATCAGTACACATAATGTTGAAGCCTAGCTTGAAGAATTTTGAGCATTACTTTGCTAACATATGAAATAAGTGTAATTGTGCAGTAGTTTGAACATTCTTTGGCATTGCATTCTTTGGTACTGGAATGAAAACTGACCTTTTCCAGTCCTGTGGCCACTGCTGAGTTTTCTTTTCTTTCTTTATTAGTCTGTTGGAAATTAAAATGGAGATGTGATAAGCTAACTGCTTCCAGTGTCATATAGCAAATTGAAACCTCATTTAAACCAGACTGTTAAGCTTTGTTTCAGTAATTGGAGTGACTTGTTGAACATCAGGTTGAAGCTCAGTTTCTTTTCACTCATATTGTAGCAGATGGCTTTAGTTAGAGATAATTCATAGTATTTCAACAAAGTTCACACCCTCTTTAGTAAGAGGTCTGTTTCCTAGTCATTAAAATAATATTGAACATTATTACATGTTGCTTAGGAGAGCATGTATTTTTAAATGTTCAATTTCTGTACATTTTGTAGAATGATATCTTCAGGCTTGTCAATTCTTGCTGTTCTTTCTCCTACCCATTTTCCAGAAGAATGAGTATTGAAATTATCCCTGCCATGAATTTACTCTAATTCTGGAATGGTCACATATGGGATTCAATTTCATATTCATGGCTCCTGTGTGTTTGCCTCTCAGTTACATTTTCTATTTGTGGTCATTATATAAAAATCTACTTAAATGGCTCAAACAGCAGATCTGATTCAGCTACTTTATCTGCATAGAAGAGAATTGAGCCTCAGTAAGGAAGGAGAATTTCTCACACAGAAACTTTACTTAAAGCCTTGTACATGTTCAGCATTATTGATAATGAGAGCAATATACAGCTTAAAGCAAAGATGTGTTATTTTTCAGTTCTTAAATTTTAAGTAATGTAAATACTGACGATACCAGTGCCAACAGTGTCACAAGCTGAAAACTCATACACCTTTTAAGTTGGTATAAACAATAGGAAAAACAACTTGATAGTATGTATCAAGAGTCATAAAATTATGTATGTACTTTAGTAATTCTTCTAAAATAGTGATAGATATCCTCAAGAAATACTCTGAAATGTAGAGGAAAGGCTGTATACATAGTAACATGGAGCATTATTCATGAAAGATCATTCAGCAAAATTATAGTTAAAATTGCAAAAAAAAAAATTTCATTTAAATTAGACTGATTACTTCAACACGCCTATAAGAAAAAACAGACAAATATATTTAGAATCCTTAAATGTATTAGAGTACAGTTTTTTGTGTGATAATTTTAAGTGCAAACAGCACTATTAATTGTGTATTTATATGTACATAGGTGCATGCCACAGGCCAAAGAGGCCAGAATGTTTTCTGTCATGATTGTTATCTTTAGGAAGTGGATGGATGGGTTATTTTTAATTTAATTGTATTTCTTTTGTTTTTCAAATACTTCAGCCATAGAGGAGGAGCACATATTTAGGTTGTTAAAATCTATTTTTACTAATTATTTTTCTTTCTCTTTTTAACCAGAAGAATATACATGTGTGTAAGTAACACAGCGATCCGGGACAAGGCAGCATCTCCTTTGTCAGTCCTGAGGGCCTCACCAAGCTGCCGCAGTAAAGTCCCTGCTGTTCCTATGAGACACCCTGGCCAATCATGTTAAAGCTGTTTAAATGCTCTTTGGCACATTGTGTTCCTTTTAGGGTACTTTCCACCAGGTTTTGATTCTTTACATGGATGAGCTGTTGAGAAATTGGGCTAATCAGACGACTGTGCTTGGAGGTGCAGGGGACTGAGGTTAGACTCACTCGATGAAATTCTCTTTGGCAGCCCTTTCACGCTGAGGCTGCGCTTGAGTCCCGTGCGAGAAGGGAGGCAGAGGCACTTTAGATGCGTGAAAGGAATTAGGAAGGATCGAGTCACTCACGAGTCAGAGGGCTTGTTTTGCCTCTGTGACACAGTGTGGCTCCTCTCTGTCCCACAGCTGGCCTTGAAGGACCCCGTGCACACCGTGTCCCTGCAGCAGTTCATCTACGAGAAGCTCAAGGCCCAGCAGGAGTTGCTGGGAGAGCAAGGCTTCCAGTCCCTCATGGAGACGGTGGACACCGAGATCGTCACCCAGCTGCAGGAGTTTCTGCAGGGCTTCTGAGCGTGAGCCGTGGCTGAGGAGGCCAGCCTGCCGCCTTGTGTGCAAGCCTGCTGGGGCGATGGAGAAATCCCTTGTGTAAGAAGCAAAAAGACGCGAAGACCACGCCTTTTTTTACTACAAAAATTCAGCGAATAAATGTAAATGCTACATAACTAAAATCACAAACCTATTCCTCAAAAGAATTTAATTTTATATTTATGAGGGGCCCTGTGTTTACTAGAGATAGATTTGACAACAATAGCTGCTTAGTTTCCTGTTAAGAGAAGAAAGTGTTTATTACCTTTTAATCATGTGCTCTTAACACTTGAGAAGAAGAAGGTTTAATGTCTGAGATATTTTACTGCAACCAAAATTAGTTAAATTTGGCTGCCTTATCCCCTTTCTAAGCTAATGAGACTACAAGTTTGAACAGTGACAACGCTGTTCAGGTGATGCAATTAAAGAAATGTGTGCACCAGGCAGAAATATACAAGTAGCGACAGATATACATTACTGAGATGGTCTTGCCAGGGGAGTTGCTTTCAATTGAATAGAAGATATGTTTTATCAGACAGATGCTTTTATTTTCATTCTAGTAATTTGATATGGGAATTAGTAAAGATTTTTTTTTCCTTGTGTTATTTTCACTAATTACATTTAGTCTTTAAATGCACGTTGTAAGGCCCACAGAAGTGACCCTGTGGCACTGCAGTGCCAGGTGGGAGACATCTGGTCGTGGTTTGGCCCTAGTTCCTTTGTTACTCCTGGAGGCCAGGAGCCCTGCGAACCCTGAGAGGACCTAACAACCCACAGACCCCCTCTGCTGTGACAGGCTGTTCAACACTCACCCACCTTGGGCTCCTCAGTGCAGGGGTGCCCAGGGGGGCCTAGCAGCAGTCCCCCAGGGTACCAGCACTGATGTGACGAGTCTTCCTTCCTTATTCCTCCTACACGCAGTACCAAAAATGGGGAAAAAGGAGAAAAAAAAAAGCCTTACTTTGTTCTACTTGCCATTGACTGTAAAGAACCTTTGAAGCATTTTAAAGAAAATATTCAAAAGCAAGTTTGGAGAATGTCTGATCTTTCTATAGAAAGTTGGGTACACTATGTAACTGCAGGAAACCCACTGCCCCTTTGTAAGTCATGGAGCCCAAAATGTATGAAAATATTTGATGTTTTCAGCTAAAGAAAGAAAAATATGGTCCAAATTAAATTTTCCAAAGATACCTCACCTTTGACTTGCCTGATTATTTTTCCTGCCTCACAAAAAATGAGTTCATAAGAATGGCCCAGTGAATTTTGAAGAGAGGTTTTCTTTCATAGTCTGGTGCTGACTCTCTCTTAGTAGGCGGCAGTCCTTCATGTAGCAAATCCTAGTTACCGTTTCAGTTTCTCTTTTCCTTTCATGACCAGAACTTCTTTAATATGATGTTTCTTTTCTTTTTTAATTTTATTTTATATTGGAGTGAAGTTGGTTAGCAGTGTTTTGTTAGTTTCCAGTGTATAGCAAAGTGGTTCAGTTACACATGTGCAACCTTTATCAAATTCTTTTCCTATTTCAGTTATTACAGAGTATTGAGCAGAGTTCCCTGTGCTAATACAGGAGGTCCTTTTTGGTTGTCTGTTTCAAATATATAGCAGTGTGTTAGTCCTAAACTCCAGAGTTGGTCCTTCCCGCCAACCCACCCTTCCTCCCTGGTAACCATAAGTCTGAGTCTGTTTCTGTTTTGTAAGTAAGTTCATTTGTATCATTTTTTAAAGATGTAAACAATATCATGTGATATTTGTCTTTCTGTCTGACTTACTTCACTAGTATGATAGTCTCCAGGTTCATCCGTATTGCTGCAGAAGGCATTATTTCACTCTTTTTAATGTCCGAGTACATACACAACCCCAGTCCTGTGGATTTCCTGCGATCAGACCCTACTGGCCTTCAAAGTCAGACTCTCTGGGGTATCCTCCTCCCGTTTCCAGACTCCTAGGCTTGGAAGCCTGATGTGGAGCTCAGAACTTTCTTTGTCTTTGGATGTAGGGTTATCTTTTTTGGTGGATTCCAACTTTTTTTTTTTTATGTGGCTGTTCAGCAGTTAGTTGTACTTTTGGTGTTTCTGTAAGATAGGGTGAGCTCATGTCCTTCTATTCTGCCATCTTGCCTCCTCCCTCCTATGATATTTCTTTATCAATACTACTCAGTCTGCAGAATTGGCCTAAGAAGAATAATTTCTCTTGTTGATTTAATTATTTTCATTTGAGGCACTATTCCCATTAATTTCAGAAATGCACATACATACTCCCATTTTTCACTTACAGTAAAATACTCATCTTTCCAGTGCCTGACAGATTTCATTACAGTGTTACGGCAAATGTTACTGAAATAGCCACCTTGCAAAAAAAGGTAAAAAATACCTCGGGGAAAGAGTTTGGTTCATTTTTTTAAACTCAATGTTTAAAATAAGCTCAGAAAAAAAGAAAAATTCTTGAATCTTTAACTGCTCAATTAAGAGTTAAAATGTAATTATTGATTTACAGAATTCTCTTCATTAATGCAGCTTCATATCAAATGTTTTAAGTTTTGGACAGACAACTCAGCCAGGCCTCGGGTTGAACTGCTCTTCCTAATATAAGGTAATGATCATTTCTATTCCATAAACGTACTCCTTTTCTATTTATTTTTTATCCAGAGACTTCTCCCAGCCCTCTGACAAAGGCCTATGTGGCCAACAGTAAACATTTTTAGAGTTTTTATTATAACTGGCTCCTGCTTCTTCTTTCTCCTACCAGTTATGTTGGAGAAGCTATATCATTAGATGTTAAAATATTCATGTTTTCAGATTCCCTTGAAAGATCTTCACCTTAGATCTTTATTTTCCCATTTCCTTTATTCAACTACTGTTTGTTGAGATCTTGTTTTATAACATACTTCTATGCTAAATTCTGGGTTTAGAACAGGCTACTTACCTCATGAAGTTTTACAGTCCAGTGGGAACACACACGTGCCAATATAATATGTGAAAATCATGGTTCTAATGGAAATGTGTGTTCAGGAGCAGTGGGCATGTGTAGAGGAAGGAGGTCTTTCACAAAAGAGAATGATGTTGGCACTTTATTATTTGATATCCCTTAAAAAATTGTTCTCAAATAGCATTGTGCCATAAGGTTATTTAAAAGTAAATGGCTCTGTACTGGAATTGGGCTTCTCTCTGATTCCAGACTTAGAGCTATTTGATGTATAAAATAAGTCATCAGTGAGATTTTGGAAATGTTAGAATTCTGTAGCCTCACAACTAATTCCTACTTCGGTGATTTAAAACATAAGGCTCACCTTGTTAGGGTAATAGTCTTCTGTTCTGTTTCTTCATATCTTATAAATACCAAATGAGTAGAAATTTAAAAGTTGTTAGAGAGCTGATGAAGGGAAGACAAGAGATGCATGTCACAAAAAATACTATTTTCTTCCTCCATCTTTAGGAAGAAAAAAAAAAGTTAACCTACAGAAGCCTGGAATGCATAGTGTAGCAAACATCAGTAAATCCTTCATCTGGATTCATCAAATTGTTCCATTTTGACACATCTACTCTCTCCATACATATACACATACACAAATGGAGAGTATATATGCTTTTGCTAAATCATTTGTAAGTTAGATACTTCAGCCTCAGTTACCTCTAAGACTGGTATTTCTCTACACATCCACTAATATTCCTAAGGAAATTAATCCAGTAATATCAAATAGTTCGTATTTCAGTTTTCACAAATGCCCACAAAGGTATCTTTTATATCATGCTTGTTTTATGATCTGAACATTTATGCAGTGCTTTTGGTGCTTTTGTTTTTAAGTGTACAATAGTCCTTTTTTTCATATCATTGGCTCTTTTGAAGAGTCTAAGACAGCTGTTTTGTAGAATCTCCATCTGTCTACAGTGTTCTAATTGTTTCCTGGTAATTGGATTCAGGGTAACATTTTTGGCAGCGACACTCCCTCCGCCGTGTCCTTGCCGAGATGTCCATCAGGCGTTGCAGAGTGTCAGACTGTGTCTGTTGCTGCTGCTGCAGTGGATAAGGTGGTCCTCACCAGGCCTCTCCATAGTGTTTCAAAGACCTTCCAGCACTAGAAATTTCCAGTGGTGCTTTTGGTTTTTGTGTTTGTTTTTGTTTTTTTTTTCACCTTAAAACTCTTAACCTCCACTAGCCTATCTTTTCATTTACAGCAAATTCTGCAGTTTTATCTTAACCTGGATGAGTCAATGACTAAGCTATGGAAAAGGTATATTGAACCTGGTGTACGTTTCATCAACCTTCCCAAGTGTCGTAAGCTCCCTTTTTGTTACCGGCACACATCAGCTAAGTGTCATCTCTTTCTCTTTCCTTCTCTCTTTCTCCCCTACCCTCTTGTGTTTTTAAGAAATATGTAGATCTTTGTGAACACCTATGTAACCTTAATTCACATGCCACCTAAAAATGAAGAAATGAAGGTAAGCACTGCCTTTTCTTGTTTTTGGATGTATAAAAAGTTGGCAAATATGCAACAGTATGCTTTTTTCAACACTTCACAAATACTTTATCATCGTATTTGGTCTGAGCTTAAAAGGCAGAAACATGCCACACTTTAGAGCATTTTCTTTTAGTGTGGCTTAGGATGAAAAGCAGTACTTTATCAGCTGACAAAATGGGAAGAGAAAAAATAATTATTGCTTATATGTGAAGCTCTGATCTTGGTATCTCCATAGAACCATGACACCTGAAACAGCAGTTCAAAGTTAACTTTTTCCTCTTAAGAAGAAACTGCATTCTGTCCTCAACACATCCAGGTTAGTATAAAGAACCTGATGTGCCATGACAACCCTATGCAACTGTCTGAAGCTGAGCTTTTGAGCCATTGAGGCAAATACTCTGGAAAAGGGCTTTGCAGTTGGTCTGAATTTCCCTGATTTTACTTCTGTGCAGTTGAACTCCTGGCCTAGGGGACTTCTTTTGGTCTGAAGCACTTGCATAAAATTCAGAACTGAGAGTCATTGACTATA